TTGTAAATTGGACTGATACAATGCCTTTATTACTGATTGGACCAGTAAAACTTGTGTCTTGTTAATTGGACTAGTACATATGTCTTGTTAATTGGACTGATACAATGCCTTTATTACTGATTGGACCAGTACAACTTGTGTCTTGTTAATTGCACTAGTATGACTCTTTGTCTTGCTAATTGGATTATTACAACTCCTGTCTTGCTGATTGGACTAGTACAATTCTTGTCTTATTTATTGGACAAGTACAACTGTCTTGTTAATTGGGCTTGTACAATTCCTATCTGGCTAATTTGACTAGTACAACTATTATGCTAATTTGAAAAATGCAACTCCTGTCATGAAATTAGACTAGTTCAAATCCTATGTTGCTATTCTCTGTCCATCACAGTATCATAAATGATATTCATTTCTGTTACACAGTGAATCTTCATATAGGTGTCTTGAAATGTAGATAATGTATTTTGTGCATGAATAATTAAAACACCTTTTGTTTCAAATTACTGATCAATATCACACATTCAATAAATGCTGAAAAAGTACCCTAAGGAAATGTGATTTGCCACAGAGGTCTTGGAGCAATTGGAAGAGTACATATTTGCTGAGTGGTTATGGAAGCCATTGTGTGCCAAAAGTAACCAGACATCAACTTCATCATGCAGTGTTTACTAAACCATTTAAATTTCAACTTCATAAATGTTTATTATATGATTTCTCTAATGAGCCGGTAGAGAGAGAACTATCATTGACAAAAAGTCTGATGGATCAAGACCAATATCACAGAAGTAGTAGCAGTCCTACAACTGAAAAATGCAGCATCCAATCAGAAAGAGACTGAAGTTTTTACAGCAAATATTTGTTTTCTGTCAGACATAATTTGTATCATATATGATTCTATTCCATTAATTTGAGCTTACTAATAAGACTGATATGCCAAACACAATATATAAATTAAATGTCATATCCACTAATGCTTCACTAATACTATGATACATTTAGTTTAGTTTGTATGATGAGTGATTGGTATGAAAGGCCTATTGATGTTTGTATATATGATCTCCTTTATGCAAGGTAAAATACAGCAGTGAACTTAATGTGCTTAAACTCTTGCTACATTGTATCACTGATATAGATAGGTTTTGAGTGGTGTAAGGACCATGAGTTGCAGTTGCTATTCAATGGTTTTTAATGGTATAAGGACCGTGAGTTGTAATTGCTATTCATTGTTTTGAGTGGTGTAAGAACTGTGTTGTAGTTGCTATTCATTGGTTTTGAGTTGTATAAGGACTGTGAGTCATAGTTGCTATTCATTGGTTTTTAGTGGTATAAGGACTGTGAGTTGTAATTGCTATTCATTGGTTTTGAGTGGTACAGGAACTGTGAGTTGCAGTTGCTATTCATTGGTTTTGAGTGGTATAAGGACTGAGTTGTTGTTGCTATTCATTGGTTTTTAGTGGTAAAAAGACTGTGAGTTGTAATTGCTATTCATTGGTTTTGAGTGGTGGAGGAACTGTGAGTTGCAGTTGCTATTCATTGGTTTTTAGTGGTATAAGGAATGTGAGTTGCAGTTGCTATTTATTGGTCTTTAGTGGTGTAAGGACTGTGAGTTGCAGTTGATATTCATTGGTTTTGAGTGGTATAAGGACTGACTTGTACTTGCTATTCATTGGTTTTGTGTGGTATAAGGACTGTAAGTTGCAATTGCTATTCATTGCTTTTGAGTGGTATAAGGATTGTGAGTCACAGTTGCTATTCATTGGTTTTGAGTGGTATATGGACTGTGAGTCACAGTTGCTATTCATTGGCGTCAAGTGGTATAAGGATTCAGTTGCACTTGCTATTCATAATGTAAATAATACTGAAAATCCCTTTTCTTCCTATAATTTATGTGATGCGTTGAGTCTGCATGAAAAGTTTTCCCTTAAAGCTCAATGTGTGTTAAATGAAATGCATATTTATGTGTGAACATTATTCTATGAAGTGACTGATTTGACATTATTGTGTATCATTTCACCAGTGTGATTAATTATATGTATTCTATATTTTATTTCAATGATTTTTAAAATATTTTAATGTTCTCAATGTTTTTCAATAAGTTTTAATAAACATCAAATATAATAATTGTTATTTAACAAATAATGCAAATCATTAATCTTTGGTGTGCAAATTAATTTATGTGTTCTTTACATATGAAGTAATCAACTTAAAGGTTTTATTAGTACATATTCTTACATGTAACATGGCAACTTTGCTGGAACCTAATTAAAACAAACAAGGAGCTAGTGAAGTTTGTGTTTTAATATAGATTCTATCTTGAAATATAAAGGAATAAATAATTGTGCATACTTTATGGCTTGCTTTATCCAATAATTAGATAAAATTTTAAAATTGTTAAGGTCGCTATGTACATGCTCATAAGTTAGATTCAATTATGAACTGCATTGACTAAGATCATCCATGGCAGATCTGGGTCTATGAAACTTGTTAAGATGAGTTAGTAAATACTTTGCTGCTGGTACATTATGCAGTGGGACAAGACTAATAATAGGTTATATATGGTAATACCAACTAGCAAAGCTTTCATTTGACCAAGATGATGCCTTGAGTCACTGACAGTACATTTATTTTATTGCCTTGGACACATGAAATATATGCTCAGTTATAAGTCAATTCAAACTGCAGATAAAGATCCTGATCTGCTGCAGCATAATGTGCCTGCAGATCAGGGTCTGTTGTGTTTGTTCTACTAATTACTCCTAACAAACTGTACAGACCCAGATCTGCTGGTGCATTATCTGAGTTTGTGCAGCTTGTGAATGGACTTGACTTACAAGTGAGTACATATTTTGGATGGTGTAGTGCATTTGATTGAGTTTTATCAATTACTAATACTATGGCATTATTTGATCAAGTCTATTATTGACAACATTGTCTGATGTGCTACCACTTGGTAGAATGCAACCATGCATATTCCATCATTGGTCAAATCCATTTATTCTGTATAATTTCAGACAAATACAAAAGTTGAAAAATGGTATCTACATTGTGGTATTTGTGTCATCTGTGGAGTTTTGAGACAGTACATGAGACATTTCATTTCCAAACTAAATGATTAAGAAATTCCTAAATCTGCCATCATAGCAGATGCGTAACTGCTTTTAATTTTACTTGCTGTTGTGATTATTATGAGTAAATGCTAAATTCACTGAAATTATGCTGGTGGCTTTGGACAGCTTTCTGAAAATTTATTATACATTCAACCCAACTCCCCAAAACGAAGCAAGTTATTATTCCATAATTTATATTTATGCCTATTTTTTTTTCAGTTTTACCATGCAAGTCTTAAAATTAACCTTTTTGTATAAGTCTTTGCCCATTGTAAATTCTATTCCTAAAAAAAAACATGTTTGTAGATAAGCCCATCTTTGAAGAAAAAAAATCATCTTCACTTGTGCAAAATTTGCAAAATTTTCATTTGGCATATTTAAGTCCACTCTCCAGAATTACCAAATCTACTCCCAAACTTTACCATATTTTAGCAAATATTTTCAATTGATATCTTTGCATGATATTACACCCACCCACCCCAAATAGACCCCAACCATATTTATTTTAAACAAAGTTCCTGTTTGTTATCAATGGATATATACTGTGATAGTATTTGTTCCAATAAAGCATCCACTCATCCTTTTTAAAAAATCAAAGACAAAATCAAGAAAATATTTCTTGCTATTACATAATTTTGATTCAGTTTCATTTTATTTTATTGCATATATTTTTAAAGACTGTGCATTGTTATTAACATGATTGAAAACATATTTATAACAATGATAATAAGAGTGTGATAGTTTGGGACAATTGATTAGGTTTTTTTGCATATGAAAATATTCAACATTTCTAAACTTAATTTAAAAAGAGTCAAGTACCAGATATACTCATTTAAAGGTCAGGGTCAATTGAAAACAACACGGACCATGATTTATCACTGTGTAATATGCTGACAGATTGGAGTCCATATTATTAGTTTAATTGTTCCTGACAAAGTTTTTTAACTTGACTCCAAATTGTGTGGTTGAATTAATGTTTCCCTTTTGATGTTGGGAAAAAAATTAATCAAAGAATAATTGTTATGTAAAAATATAAACTATTATGTGGTAATTAAAACCATGGAGATTGTATTAAATAATTAAAAGCATTTACATTCCCTTATATTAAAAATGCCTTTAAAATAATTTCTATTGATATAAATATCCTATGCTCTAGGTAATGGTGTTTTCTTTGGTGAATGTACATTTCTAATTGTATCTCATGCATGCCATTCTATACTTTACCTTAATTGTATTATTACACTGAATGTGTGGTGTATGAACAGTTAATGATTTCAATAATTAAAGTCATTGGAAGTATAAAAACAAATTGTAAATACATGCATATAGTGTCACATTTTGTGCAAGAAGTTTATAATATGATTTTTAAATTTTAACTTAAAGTCTGTGCTTGCTTTACTTCACATGCTTTAATTTATTTTGTTTATTCTTAACAAACATTTTGTAGTCATGTACAGTATGTGATCATAAGTAAATTCCCAGTTCTAAATATCTCACAAACCTGGCCAGTAATTGACATTTTTGTATTTTATATACTTATATATAATCCACACCCAGATATTGTGAACTACATAGTCCTAAATCTGCTACAACAGATGTTTTGCACCCACATCCAAATTTTAAGAACTGCATAGATCCAGATATGTCATTACATACACTTATTAACCAATACACAGTATTGTGAACTTCATAGACCCAGATTTATCATTACATAATTTTCTTAGACCACATCCATACTTGTGAGCTTCATAGACCCAGATCTACCATTACATAATCTCCTTAGACCACACACAGTATTGTAAATGCATAAACCCAAATCTGCCATTGCATAATCTTCTTAGACCACATCTACTATTGTGAACTGCATAGACCCACACCTGCCATTCTAACTTCTCTTGTGGCCTAGTGGTTAGAGTGTCTGCCTTGGATGCGGGAGGCTGTGGGTTCGATCCCTGGTTGAGTCATACCAAAGACTTACAAAAATAGTACTAACAGCTGCCTTGCTTGACACTCAGCATTAATAGGTTAGTGTTAGGACTGGTTGGCCTGGTGTCAGAATAATGTGACTAGGTGTCTGCGGCATGATTCCCCAGTGCAAGACATCACTATAAACTGCCACACTGCAGACAACATAGTGATATGACTGAAAAATTGTTAAAGCTATGTTAAATATCATAATAACATCACATCACCTGCCATTGCATTATCTCTTATATGATATACATAGTAACCACAGTGAGTACATAAACTGAAGTAAGAAACTTCAAATTTAAAACAAAAGTAGAATCTCTCAAAAGCATTAAAATTTGGTATGTATATAGAGATACGTGTAACAAGAAAAGGCCATACTTATTGTATGTGTATTTAGGATAATTGTAAAGAAGATAATCCTTGTAATTATTTCATGGGTACATAGAAATACTTGTGACAAGATAACCCTCATAATATTTCTGATTGACCAGGATTTGATTTAGGGAGAATCAAACTTTTTTTAAGATTTGAACACAGGTTCATTATTTGTCCTTGTACATTTTTAGGGCCATGGTTTCTTTATTTAATTGTAAATATCAGAAATTGGATTTGTTAGTGTATATAGATGTGTACACTGATTGGGCAGTTATATGTACTCATGTACTGAAGAATCAGTTATATAGACTCATGTACAGAAGATTCAGTTATATTGATTCATGTGCTAAAGAGTCAGCTATTATGGACTCATGAACTGAAGAGTCACTTATATGGACTCTTGTACTGAAGTGTCAGCTATATGGATTTGCATACTGAAGAGTCAGTTATATGGACACTTGTACTGAAGAGTCAGCTATTATGGACTCATGTACTGAAGAGTCAGTTATATGGACTCTTGTACTGAAGTGTCAGCTATATGGACTTGTGTACTGAAGAGTCAGTTATATGGACTCTTGTACTGAAGTGTCAGCTATATGGACTTGTGTACTGAAGAGTCAGTTATATGGACTCTTGTACTGAAGAGTCAGCTTTATGGACTTATGTTCTGAATAGTCAGGTATATGGACTAATGTACTCAAGTGTCTTTGGTGTTTGAGAAAGCTTGCATTGGGTTAGTGGTTTTTTCATGAGTATTCCTAGGATCTCCACCAAAATGTAAAAAGCTGGCTATTTTGTATAACCTGTCATGTGCTGAAAATGGTGTTAAACTCCACAAAACTAAACTTTATGTATTTTTGTCTGTACTCCAGAATAAATTGCTAAAATACCTAGACATCTTTATGCATTAATCATTAAAATATGCACATGCCTCAATTGAATACAGACATGACTCAATTGAGTATGTACATGACTCAGTTAAATATGTACATGTCTCAATTGAATATTCATATGACTCAATTGAATATTCATATGACTCAATTGAATATAGACATGACTAAATTGAATATACATGACTCAATTCAATATGTATGTGACTCACTTGAATATATATATATATATATATATATATATATATATATATATATATATATATATATATATATATATATATATATATATATATATATATATATATATATATACATACACACATGTCTCAATTAAATGTACATACATGACTATAAAACAATAAAACACCAAGATTTTTAAAAATGTGTCAATTACTACACTGCAGTATTTGTAAGTGGGAATATACTTATAGTCACATAGAAATCCCTCAGGGACTGCCGTATTACATATTCACTGCATGAGCTTTAATATGGGGACTCCCTAAAATATTAGATACTGTTTTGGTAAATGTGTGTAATATTTGTCACATTTTTTAAATTATAAATTGCAGTTAACTGAAGTGTTTTGCATTGCCACTGTCATGTTTTAGCTCTTTGCAAATACTTATTCTCAATCAAATGTAAAAATATGTTCTAACTAGCATTCTGCTAAAGGAACAAGTTTGTGGCTTTCCAAATCCCTTCTTTGTTGTTTCTAAACCATGTGAAATGTTTGTAACTTCTGTTAAGTTTTGATGACATTTTGCCATGTTGTTTTTCTTTTTGTTCTTATTTTTATCAGGGAGAATGTGGCCAGATCTGAACCTCCCTATGTACAAGAGGAATCTAACTACATTATGTGTTGTTTTATATGTCTGTCCCACCATTATCATTGTTAGCTCATCTGTCTATGAGACCAAGTGAGCTTTAGGCCTGGCCCTTCATCTGCCATGCATTGTCACTAAGTGCATCAACATAAAAAATGTGCTTGTTTCAGCTTCTTGTCAAACACCACTAGGATGATTTTCATCTAAATTTGGTAGAGACCAACCTGACATAAAGGGTTTTCAGAGGTTTACAAATAATGACAATCTGCCATCAGATATTACCACCATTCAGAAATATAGAAATAAACTTTACAGGACTTCTTCTCAAAAGCCAGTCAATAGAATTTGAGCTAATTGATAGAAAATTATTGAAAATAGGTAGAACTTTTAACAGCTTTACAAAGACAACACAAAAGAATTTTGATGAAGTTTGAGTAAGTGTTTCTGAATCCAAATTATGCAGATTTGCTTTTAAATACGACTGTTACTAAAATTAGACAGACTAGAAGTACATTTTACTCAAAAATTTTATAATAGATATCTAGCAGATTTTACAGGAAATTTTCTCAATAACTGTTCAGTTTATAAAAAATTTAACACCATGCACTCTATGTAAAGGGCTTTGAAGGTGTTGTAAATTTGCATATTTGCCATCTATTATGGCCATCATTAAAAAGAGAAACAACAAGCACTGTCTACTCTTCATGAGCTTCTTAAAAGGATTTTATGATGTTAATTAGAACTTATATTGTCATGGATTGCTTTTTGTACAAAGTTATGATGTTAATTAGAACTTATATTGTCATGGATGGCTCTTTGTACAAAGTTATGATGTTTTGGCAATGGCTACCATTGCTATAAATTAAAAGTCCTGTAAGCAACTTTTTTGAAAAACCACTCAACAAAATTCAACCAAATTTGTCCAAATATAATTGCTTGATGGGCTTGTAACTTTCTACATATGACTGATCCAGTAGAGGCAGTTGCTGAAATTTTGAGAAAAGAGGGCCACTAATCAAAAGGAAACAAAAACCAGTCAACACAGTTTGATGAAGTTTTAATTAAAACATCCTTAAAGCTTGATTTTTCGTATTTATAAAATTGATGTTGTTGCAGTATCCATTATAAAGATCATTACCAGAAATATAAAAACTGTTAAATAAAATTATCTATTTACAAAACGCTAAGCAGAAATTGACCAAATTTGAAGAGGTCATCCTGGCATGAAGTCCTTTCGATCTTGAACAAGTCATCTTTCACTGCCATCACACTAAATGAATATAAAAATCTCAAAGAAAGCTTGAAACGGTTTGTTTTCATAAAATGTACATTAGTCAGTATTGCATGAATCATGTATGTGGCCATGTCCTTTTACATGTCTATTAGGCAGATATCAGCAATCTTTGACTCACTTGGGCCTCTTGTTCTATTATTACTTCAAAATCAAAGGTAGTTATTAAAAAAGATGTTACTGTTACTGTTTTATTTTTATGCTTATGAAATGTTTATTATAAATATCCTGCTTGGACGATAAAAGCTATAAACCCCTTATTTATGAGACTGGATTTGTGTATCTAAATGTAATGAAGAGTGTGTGTGTGTGTGTGTGTGTGTGTGTGTGTGTGTGTGTGTGATATATGGTATATATTTCCTTATCACTAACTGTCATTTTTATTTATTGAAATTAAAACAGGCTTAAAATTATTACAATAAACCATTTAATCACATGCAAGGCTGTTTCGTTTTTACAACAATTAGAACTTAATTGAATTAAAATTCATCAAAATTTATTGTTATTACCAGAATGGTAATCAATATGTCCTCATGAATTTTACATGAATGTTAATTTTATTGGAAGTTTCTTGATACAAAGCAGAGTGGCAGAGTGGCATACATGGGTGTATTCAAAAACTGAAAATTAATAGTAGAAATTCTCCCCACCATTAGCAACAAGGTGGAATTTTTAGGAAACAAATAGCAAACATATTCAAGTTGAGGATTTAAATTATATTGCAAGATTTTGGGGCATTTGGTATTTGAAAGAAATAAGCACTTAAATAGATCATAGCATGATGATGAAAAATGACCAAATATGTATTAGACCATGACACTATGATGAAAAATGACCAAATATGTATTAGACCATGACACCATGTTGATGAAAAATAACCAAATATGTATTAGACCATGACACTATGATGAAAAATGACCAAATATGTATTAGACCATGATACCATGTTAATGAAAAATAACCAAATATGTATTAGACCATGACACTATGATGAAAAATGACCAAATATGTATTAGACCATGATACCATGTTTATGAAAAATGATCAAGTATAATTATATGAGTAAAGACAACATCAGTGGAAAGCAATACATTAAGTGCCACTTTTTCTTACAAAATTCAAGGTTTTCTCTTTTTCAGAAATAAAATTTCCAGTAGTGTATTAATTTGTGACATTATATCACTCTCTGTCTGTTGTATAATCCTGCTGGTCAATACCGCCACCAAAGTTGTCCTACTTTCTTAATTAACTTTATGTGCAAACAAATTGTACAACAACTTTAAAGTTTTATGTAATTGGTTTGACAGCCTGTGTTTTTACCTGAATTTGTAGGGTTCCAATAATATTGCAGAATAGGAATATTGATAAAATATTGCACCTATACAATATCAGTCATCGCCATCTCTGTGCTACCCCACCCTAATGAAGTTGACTTTCTGGTACACACTGATACTACAGTAAAACAATGCAAGACAAATTTATATATGAAAACCATATAGCAATAGATAAAAGAAGAGCATTCCTGGCAATATTGTCAATGTTTACAAATACTGGTCAAAAAACATGGAAGAAGCTCTTGGCACCTATCTGAACCTGTTGTTAATTATTTAG